GTTTTTGACGCAGTTTTGCTTTGTCACGAACGTTGGAGTGCATATGATTGCATGTGGGCTATGCAGTCATAGCTCACTGCAGCCTTGAACTCCTAGGCTCAAGCAATCCTCCCTCCTGAGTCTCCCAAGTAGCTAAGACAACAGGAACTAATTATTTTTTGTAGAGATGAGGTCTCACTATGTGATCCAGGCTGATCCCAAACTCCTGGACTCTAGTGAACTGCCCACCTCAGCCTCCCAAAGTGCTGGGATTACAGGTGTGTTCCACCATGCTTAGCCTCCGTTATTTTTCAATGACAAATCATGCTGCAATCAATCAGCCTGTGCATATGTAGTTTCCCATCATGGGAGGGATATCCTCAGGTTAAATTCCTGGAAGCGGGATTGCTGGGTTAAAGGATAGATCCGTGTGTGATTTTGTTAGATGCGCCGAAATCCCCTCTCCCATGGCGGCACCGTTTTGCATTCCCCCCAGCAATGTAGAAGAACGTCCATTCTCTCAGCCTCCGCAAACGAGTGTGCTGTGAAGCTTTTAAACTTTGACTGCCTGGTTGATAAGAAGTGGTATCTCATCATATTTTTTTCATCTGTGTTTCTCAAATTTTGAGTGAGGGATAGATACTTTTTTAAACAGGATCGTAAAAGGTCACTCTCTCCCTGCCTCCTTCCCTCCCTCCCTCCCTCCTTTCCTTTCTTTCTTCTTTCCTTTCTTCTTTCCTTCCTTCCCTTTTTTAAACAGAGAGATCATAAAACCTCCTTTCTTCCTTTCTACTTTTTTTTTTTTTTAAGACGGAGTTTCACTCTTGTTACCCAGGCTGGAGTGCAATGGTGCGATCTCCGCTCACCGCAACCTCCACCTCCTGGGTTCAGGCAATTCTCCTGCCTCAGCCTCCTGAGTAGCTGGGATTACAGGCACTGCGCCACCATGCCCAGCTAATTTTTTGTATTTTTAGTAGAGACTGGGTTTCACCATGTTGACCAGGATGGTCTCGATCTCTTGACCGTGTGATCCACCCGCCTCGGCCTCCCAAAGTGCTGAGATTACAGGCTTGAGCCACCGCGCCTGGCCCCTTCTACTTTTTAAAATAGAGAGATCATAAAACCAACCTCCCTCTCTCCCTCCCTCCCAGAGTTTTGCTCTTGTTGCCCAGGCTGGAGTGCAGTGGCATGATCGTGACTCACTGCAATCTCTGCCTCTCAGGTTCAAGCGATCCTCCTGCCTTAGCCTCCTAAGTAGCTGGGATTACAGGTGTGTGGCATTGTACCCAGCTAATTTTTGCATTTTTAATAGAGACAGGGTTTCACCATGGTGGCCAGACTGGTCTCGAACCCATGGCTTCAAGCGATCCTTTCACCGACACCTTCGGCCTCCCAAAGTGCTAGGATTATAGGCATGAGCCACTGCGCCCGGCCCATAGAAAGTCTTTCTACAGAGGCAACAAGTGAGGAGAGAGCTAAGTGACAGAGACAGACATGGGAAAATCTGGGGGAAGGGCATTTCAGGTAGAAGGAATGGCAAGACCAAAGGCCCTGAGGCAGAAGTGAGCTTGAGGAGTTGAAGGAAGAGCAAGAAATTTAGGTGTTCTAGGCTGATTGTGATGGCTCACGCTTGTAATCCCAGCACTTTGGGAGGCCAAGGTGGAAGAATTGCTTGAGCCCAGGAGTTTGAGACCAGCCTGGGGCAACATGGGGAGATCCTCTCTTAAGTTAGCCAGGCATGGTGGTGTATGCCTGTTGTCTCAGCTACTCATGAGGCTGAGGTGTGAGGATCACCTGAGCTAGGGAGGCGGAAGCTGCAGTGAGCTATGATTGCACCAGTGCACTCCTGCCTGGACAACAGAACAAGACCTGTCTCAAAAAAATAATAATAATAATAAGGTAAAGAAAATTAGGTGGTCTAAGCAGAAGAAACAAGGAGAAACTGATCAGAGATGGTATAGGCAGGGACCGGATCACGTATGCATTATTACAGTCTAAGAGGTTAGCCAAGTCTTCTGCAAAGAGCCAAATAATAAATACCTTCAGCTTTCCTGGCTGCCTGGTCTCTCTTGCAACTGCTCAGCTTTGTGTTTGTAGCACAAAAGCAGTCATAGGCAATATGTGAGCAAATGGGTGTGGCTGTGTTCCAGTATCATTTATAGAAACCAAAATTTGAAATTCATGTACTTTAAAAAGTACATGTACTTACATCTGTAAGACCAGGCACAGTGGCTCATGTCTGTAATCCCAGCACTCTGGGGGACAAGGTGGGCAGATCACCTGAGGTCAGGAGTTCAAGACCAGCCTGGGCAACATGGCAAAATCCTGTCTCTGGAAAAAATACAGAAAATTAGCTGGGCGTGGTGGTGTGCACCTGTAGTCCCAGGTACTGCAGCAGCTGAGGTGGGAGGATCTCTTGAGCCTGGGAGATGAAGACTGCAGTGGGCCATGATTGCCCCCAGTGCTCTCCAGCCTGGGCAACAAAGCAAGACCCGGTCTCAAAAACAAAACAAGACAAAAAAGTTGTGAGGATTACACACCTGTAATCCTAGCACTTTGGGAGGCCAAGGTGGGCAGATCACTTGAGGTCAGGAGTTTGAGACCAGCCCGGTCAACATGGTGAAGCCCTGTCTCTACTAAAAATACAAAAAATAGCTGGGCATACTGGTAGGTGCCTGTAATTCCAGCCACTCAGGAGGCTGAGGCAAGAGAATCACTTGAACCTGGGAGGCAGAGGTTGCAGTGAGCCGAGATTGCGCCACTGCACTCCAGCCTGGGTGACAGAGCAAGGCTCTATCTCAAAAAAAAAGAAAAAAAGAAAACCAAAAAAAGAGAAAAACCAAAATTGAGATGTAATTCACCTACTATACATTTCATAAAATTCAGTGATTTTTAGTACATTCACAAGGTTGTACAACCATCTCCATTAGCTAATTTCACAACATTTTCATTATTCTCAAAAGAAACCTCACATACCTTAGCAGCCAGACACAATTTCCCCCTCCATCCTATTCCCTGGCAACCACGAATCTACTTTCTGTGTCTGTGGATTTGCCTATTCTGGACATTGCATATAAATGGAATCACACAATATGTGGTATTTCGCATCTGGCTTCTTTTCCTTAGCTTGCTTTCTAGGTTCATCCCTATGGTAGCATGAATCAGTACACCGTTCCCTTTTTTGGCTGAATAGTATTCCTTTCTATGGATATACCACATTTTGTTTATCCAGTCATCGGCTGATGGACATTTGGGCTGTTTCCGCTTTTTGGCTATTATGCATAACGCTGTTACAAACATCCGTGTACAAGTTTTTGTGTGAACATATGTTTCCGCTTCTCTTGGGTACATACCTAGGAGTGGAATTGCTGGGTCATATGATAATTCTATCTTTAACTTTTTGAGGCGCTGCCAAATGAAATTCATAGACTTCTTATGTGCCACAAAATACCAGTCTTGTTTTGATTTTTAAAATCATTTACTTATGTGAAAGCCATTCTTAGCTGGTGGGCCACACAGAATGAGGGGGTGAGCTGGGTTTCATCCATAAACCATGGTTTGCCGACCCCCTGGTGTAGACAATGGAAGGACTCTGGGCTTATTCTATGTGTGTTGCACACAGAATGTTTATTTGTAAGATTCTAGGGGAAGAGGCTGGTAGTGATTAGTTAGATACATTTAAGGCAGGGAACTTAGTAGCCTCCTCAAGCCACTCTTGGCATAGTTACTGTTTAAAGGAAATTTCATCTTGAGAAAATGATAATCGCCTCTTAGAAATTCTCAGATCGGACCTCTCCTCTGCACACTGCCCATATGCTCTATTTCCTCAATTGTAAATGGCGTTAAAAATGTACCTCCTTCAAAGAGGTGTTGTGAAGTTTGAATGAATTTATATATATACAACACCGAGAACAGTGCCTGGCACAGACCAAGACCTATATAAGTCGTTGCTATTATTATTGCTATTGTTGCAATTATTATCCACACAGCCTCAGCTCAGGCCTCATCCTCCTCCCCCTGGAATATGTCTCCTTCCAGTCTGTTTCCAGCACCAACCAGCCCTCAGAGGTTCTTCTAACAAAGATCTGGCCCTGTCCTTCCTCTTCTACAAACTTTGTGTAGCTCCCTAGTATCCTTAGTGCCGGGCTCCTGGGCCCGGCATTCGAGGCTCATCATGGCTCTACCTTTCCCTTTCTCTAACCTCATTTCTTGTGGCTACAGCTCATGTTACAGCTACATGGGTGGACCAGCTCCATGTCACCCCCCTCCCCACCAAACCTTTGCCCCTACTGTTTACTCTGCCAGTGTACTCTTATTCTTCCCTGGGCCTCATCCTTTAAGACTTGAACAGGCTGGGCACGGTGACTCACGCCTGTAATCCCAGCACTTTGGGAGGCCGAGGAGGGCAGATCACCTGAGGTCAGCAGTTCGAGACCAGCCTGGCCAGCATGGTGAAACCCTATCTCTACCAAAAATACAAAAAAGTAGCCAGGTGCAGTAGCGGGCGCCTATAATCCCAGCTACTTGGGAGGCTGAGGCAGGAGAATCACTTGGACCTGGGAGGTTGGAGATTGCGCTGAGTCAAGATTGGGCTACTGCACTCCAGCCTGGGCCACAGGGTGAGGCTGTCTCAAAAAGAAAGAAAGACTTGAACAAAGGAATCTTTTCTTCATTTATCTTGCCCCTGCCCCAGGTGGGTTTGGCGCCCCTTCCAGACTCCCACAGAGTTCCGTGCTACTTCCTTGTAGCACGTATCACTTTACATGTGACTTGATCAGTGTTTCTATTTTCCTTCTCCAATTCCATTGTGAGTTCCTGGATGGTAGATTTAGGGGGAAGAGGGAGGTGGTTGTTGATTCATCTCTGGGCTCCCTGCACTCAGCCAAGGCCCAGCACACAAGGGGCTTCAGGAAGGTAGTCCAGGACAGAATGGGGAGGAGGGGAAGGCAGTGAGGTGGGGCTGGGGCTGGAAAAAGGGGCCCACTTCTAATGGATGAGGGCACCCCCTCTGCTCCCCCTAGGCCTCTCCTTGGTGGTGGGCTTGGTTCTTTACATCTCCAGCATCAACGACGAGGTCATGAACAGGCCCAGCAGCTCTGAGCAGTATTTTCATTATCGCTACGGGTGGTCTTTTGCCTTCGCCGCTTCCTCCTTCCTACTCAAAGAGGTGACTTCCGTGGGACCTAGACTCTAGCGTTCTGAATGGAGAGAGGTCTTGGGGGCCTGGTTCCTGAGTCCAGGAAGAAAGAGAGGCTGGAGATGTAGACTCTGGCGTCAGAGGGAGGTGGTAGCTGAGGGTCTAACCCGTGGGTCCTGAAGGAAGAGGGGGTCTGAGAGCTCCAACTTTTGGGATCCTTGGGGAGGAGGGGTCTGGAGACTGAGACTCCTGGGTCTTGAGGGAGGGGCTATCCTGAGGGCTTGGACTCCTGAGGTCCTGGGGAAGGAGAGGGCTGGAGCCCTGATCCTAGGTCCTGGGATAGGAAGGGGCTTGGGGTGGGGACTCTGAGTCCTGCAGTTAGGGGAGACCAGTTGGGGTCCCGGGATGCGCGAGGGGCGCCCCTGGGACTCTGACCTTGCCTTGCCGCAGGGGGCCGGCGTGATGTCCGTGTACCTGTTCACCAAGCGCTACGCGGAGGAGGAGATGTACCGCCCACACCCCGCCTTCTACCGTCCGCGTCTCAGCGACTGCTCAGACTACTCGGGCCAGTTCCTGCAGCCCGAGGCGTGGCGCCGCGGCCGGAGCCCCTCCGACATCTCCAGCGACGTGTCCATCCAAATGACGCAGAACTACCCTCCCGCCATCAAGTACCCGGACCACCTGCACATCTCCACCTCGCCCTGCTGAGGTCCGCCCCTCGGAGCTCCCCTGCCTCCTCCTCCTCCTCCTCCTCCTCCTCCTCGGGGGTCTCCCGGCAAGGCAGCCCCGCTTCCCTCCTCGGGACTCTTGGCTCCCACCCGAGGGAGGCTTTGCCAGCTTTAGGCCACGCCCTCTCCCCAGTGGCTCCGCCCACACCCTCCCTCATTTCAATGGCCGCGCCCCTTTTTCCTCATCTCTCCTTTTCATTGGTCCCTCTCACTAGCAAATGACTCCTACCTCTTCATTTCCCCGCCCCTTTCTCTTAAGGCCCGCCCCTTTCTTCTGACTCCTCCTCTCTAAGAAAATTAGCTCCTCCCTCGTTCTCCACGTGTTCTGCGCTGGGAGCAGCCCGCGGCTGTGCAGGCGCCCAGCTCCCCGGAGCCCCAACCTCCGACCTCACCGCAGGGGCCCTGGGTTGGGAAGCAGGTTCGGGCAGCCGCCAGGAATGCTGACCATCTTCTTCTCCCTTCTGCCTCGGGCTTCCTTTTTCCCTACCTAATCTCACCTCCTGACCTGCTGGGTCCCCGGGTGCAGCGGGAGGACCGGCTTGCTCCACCCACAGCCGCGGGATGGGATGGGGAAGGGGGCTGGAAGCCACGAGTACGGTTAACCTGGACCCTGGCCCTTCCCTTCCCGCCTCCTCTGCTTCCCTGGGAGGTCCCATTCGTTCTCACCGGCTGGGCTCTTTTCTGCTTCCTGAAGGTTACCTGCCTTTTAGGGGGCTCTTGTCTAAAGGATCTTCTTGTTTTCTCAGCTATCCTTGGCTGCTTTTTCGTCTTCCTCCTTCTTTAACTCTTTCTCTCCTTTCCTCCCTCCACCCGCTCGTCCCAAGCTCCTGAGTGCATCCAGCCGTAGGCACACGCCAGGCGGCCAGAATGGGGACCCTAGGGTGGAGGGAATAACCCCCGCGCCATCTCCACACCTGTGCCCGCCTCTCCCCCCTCGAGGCCCCGTCGAGGGAGGGAGGGGCAGTAGCGGGGGTCGACGCCCCCCCAAACCTCTAAGTCTTCCATTTTCTGGCTCTTCACCTCATCGATGTCCCTCTTCCCCCCTCAGAACCCCAACTCTGGCCTCTTTCAAGGGCCCATCCGCCCCGTTGGACAGATTTTGGGGGGAGAGGAGGTCACCAGGAACTCGCCCACCCCCTCTTCTTAGGGAAAGAGGGGCAAGGTAGCACAGTGCTGTACACGGAACCAGAATGGCCCCCGGGGTGGGGGGGAGGGGGGCAGGGGAGGGACGGGGGCTTTTAGTTTGCATCTTGGGTGGGAGGGGGGAGGAGGGGACCCGCCACAGTTAACCTGACTTTACGCAGCGATTTTTAACGAGGCTGGGGGGAGGGGGGCACTGGGGGTGGCGACAGGGTGGGGCGGGGGGCCTGGCTCTGTTATTTACCGTGTATCATATGTAAATATCGACAGAAACTTCAATAAACTTTATTTCAAACACGTCTCCGCCTGCCCAGAGGGAAGGGATTGGATACAGGGGGCTTAGCCTAGGTCTCTGCTTCTAGGGTTGCAGGCCTAACGTGCTGCAGAATAAGGTTAGATGGGTCGTTGCTAAAGACTTCATCATCATCATCATTATCGATGGCAGCGCTTTATACTTCAGCCCGTGTAAAGCATGCAGGACGGTTAATGACACCGGTCAGGATCAATAAACACTTTCTCTTGGTATTACTATGACCATGTAGACTACTGTTACTATGACTCGCCTTCCTTTGACATTCATTGCTGCTTTTAACTTTCTTCCTAAGCCTGCACGTTCAATTTATTGGCCTCATTTTGCATATAGGTCCAGAGAAATGAAAAGATGTAACCAAGAGCACACAGGTGGGAATTGGCAGAGTCATTTGCTAAAACCAAGCTTGGGCTGGGCATGGTGGCTCACACCTGCAATCCCAGCACTTCGGGAGGCCGAGGCGGGCAGATCATTTGAGGTCAGGAGTTCGAGACCAGCCTGGCGAAACATGGCAAAACCCCATCTCTACTAAAAATACAAAAAATTATCGGCGCTGTGGCTCACGCCTGTAATCCCAGCTACTCGGGAGGCTGAAGCAGAGAATCGCTTCAACTTGGGAGGCAGAGGCTGCAGTGAGCTGAGATCACGCCACTGTACTTTAGCCTGGGTGACAGAGTGAGACTCCATTTCAAAATAATAATAATAATAATAATAATAATAATAATAATAAAACCAAGTTTATCTGGTTCCAAAGCTTGGGAGTTCTCCTGCTTGCACCAGGCAGTGGTGGGCTTTCTCGGTGCTTGGCTCTGTCCCTCTGTTGAGAAATGACGGTTACCGTTTACTGCACACCTACCTGAGCCAGACGCCTTCCTTCCTTAAGTGATCTCATTAGACATTCACAGCAGCTCTGTACAGCAGCTCTGTATCACCCCATTTTTTGCAGGTGAAGAAGGCAGGCTCAGAAAGTAGGCACCACAATCTGCAGTCTCACCCACTATACTGAGAGACTGAGAACAGCCTAAATGTTTGATAAGCTCATTCTTGGAGCGTATTGTAAAGGAAGCACTGTGCCAGATCCTCCCTTCTTTGCCTTGTCTTGATTTGGCCTCTTAAGGATCCACCAGAACAACTTTTGCAACTACAATCACAACTGTTAACAGCCACAGCCACATTTATCAGGTCATCGTTAGGGGCTCAGATGCTGCACTAAACACTTCTTCTTCTTTTTTTTTTTTTTAATACAGTGAAGTTCTCCCTATATTTCCCAGGTTGGTCTTGAACTCCTGGTCTCAAGAGCTCCTGCTACCTCAGCCTCCCAAAGTGCAAGAATTACAGGCAAGAGCTACCCTACCAGGCCAGCACTAAGCAATTTTGATTATTAGCTCACTGAATCCTTCCAACCATCCTGTGAATCAGATATTCCAATTAGCTCCATTTTATAGATAATGAAACCGAGGCTCAGGAAAGTGAGGCCATCCAGCTGGTAAGATGAGGAGAATTCATGCCTGGTCTGTCTGACCTCAGAGTCCACACTCTTCGATGCTCTAATTTACTGCTATGGATTTGGTGCAAACTCATTCTGTGACCTTGAGCAAATCTTTGAATCTCTGGAGCTTCAGTTTCTTTTTCTGTAAAAATAATAATAAAGATTAAAAAATACCAAGAGCAGTGATTGGTTTAGAAGGATTCCAAATCCCTCTGGAATAAGGAGGTGGGTGGGGGTAAGTTAGCGGGAAAGAGTTCTGAATCAGCAGAACTGGACTCCCGGAGGGAAATATTCTGAGTCATTTTCAATGATTTCACAAATTTCTGGAGGTCATGCTTAAGATACGGGACTGCAAATAATGTCTCAGGTTCGTTGTCAAAACTAAGTGATTCGTAGTGCCTGCTTGGAGCCCAGTATTAGAAGGATTCTGAACATCTGCTCAGTAGGAAAGAATGTCGCCATCGATTGGTGCTGTCTGCCGCGCTGCTCAATTGGTGCTGTCTGCCTTGCCTGCAGGATGGGCTGTGGTGACGCACATGCTAGATATTTGCTAACACTATAGGGACGTTAATCCAAAATCCTAAGGTTTGTGTTCTTTTTAAAAAATCAAGCTAGTTCTTTTGTTTATGGAACTTTGAACGTGGAATGCAACCCCACAGTTCAAGATTGGTGAGTTTTTTGTTTCGTTTTAAAGAAATGCCGTGAAAAGTTCCACCTTTATCCAAAGTAAGTCAGGATGTCCTAACCTTCTGAAATCCTCCTCTCCCTGAGGCATGGCATTATTAGTTTTTAATGTATAATTTCAGGAATACTCTATGCATATTCAAGCGTATTTGCATGTGTTTAAATCCACATACAGATGAGTATGTGGTATACACATTTTTTTATTTTATACATTTATCATGTAATGTACATAGTTCTGTTCCTTCCAGGTTCACATGAGAATGCATGATGGAGCTCGTTAGGTATGTTATATAACTCTACCTTACTGTTTTCCAAGGCTGCTTAATAACAATTGTTTGCATAAATTAATTGCATAATTTATTGAGTGCTTACAGGCCAGCCTCTTTGTGTTTCAGTCCTAAGCACTTTACAGTCTATAACCCCAGGAGGTTTGGTACCCTTAGTATCATTCTCACTTTATAAATGAGATCCCTAGACACAGAGAGGTTAATTAGCTTTCTCCTGGTCACACAGCTATTAAGTGGTCAAGCTAAAATTTGAATCCTGGGAGTCTCCTCTGTCTACAACACTCATCCTCTAAGCGGTATATGTGTGTGTGTGTGTGTGTGTGTGTGTGTGTGTGTGTGTGTGTGTGTTTGAAACGGATCTCTCTCTGTTGCAGTGGTACTATCTCAGCTTACTGCAATCTCCACCTCCTCAGTAGCTGGTATTACAGGCATGTGCCACCATGCCCAGCTAATTTTTGTATTTTTAGTAGAGGTGGGGTTCTGCCATGTTGGCCAGACTGGTCTTCAACTTCTGACCTCCTTGGCCTCCCAAAGTGCTGGGATTACAGGCATGGGCCACTGCGCCTGGCCCTCTGTGTATATAGAAGCCACCTGGTTCCATCTATTTATCAATGACCTATGTCTCCCTGAGCTCAAACTGCTGAGCTCAAGCAATCCACTGGCCTGAGCTTCCCAAAGTGCTGGGATCGCAGGCATGAACCACCACGCTGGGTTCTAGTCACTCTTTTTGTTTGTTTGTTTGTTTGTTTTTGTTTTTTTGAGACGGAGTTTCACTCTTGTTACCCAGGCTGGAGTGCAATGGCACGATCTCGGCTCACCGCAACCTCCGCCTCCTGGGTTCAGGCAATTCTCCTGCCTCAGCCTCCTGAGTAGCTGGGATTACAGGCACGCGCCACCATGCCCAGCTAATTTTTTGTATTTTTAGTAGAGACGGGGTTTCACCATGTTGACCAGGATGGTCTCGATCTCTTGACCTCGTGATCCACCCACCTCGGCCTCCCAAAGTGCTGGGATTACAGGCTTGAGCCACCGTGCCTGGCCCACAATAAACTCATTTTAATTATGAATGTATATATTTATTCTTAATTTTTAAATATTTTTCTGTTTTTTAATTTAAAAATTTTTTACCAAGGACACATTTATTTATTTATTTATTTATTTATTTGAGATGGAGTTTAACTCTTGTCACCCAGGCTGGAGTGCAATGGTGAGTTCTCTGCCCACTGCAACATCTGCCTCCCAGGTTCAAGTGAGTCTCCTGCCTCAGCCTCCTGAGTAGCTGGGATTACAGGCATGCACCACCACACCCAGCTGATTTTTGTATTTTTAGTAGAGATGGGATTTCGCCATGTTGGCCAGGTTGGTCCCAAACTCCTGACCTCAGGTGATCTGCCTGCCTTGGCCTCCCAAAGTGCTGGGCTTACAGGAGTGAGTCACCATGCGTGGCTCCTAAAGTTAATAGTCATGATTTAAAAGTTTCAGCATCAGAGAAGGGTAAAGAGAAAGCAGCTTTTGGCTGGGCATGGTGGCTCACATCTGTAATCCTCGCACTTTGAGAGGCCAAGGCAGAGTTTGAGACCAGCCTGGCCAGCAGGGTGAAAACCCATGACATAGTTAGTCTCTACTAAAAACACAAAATTAGCCCGGTGGAGTGGTGCATGCCTGTAATCCCAGCTGCTTGGGAGGCTGAGGCAGGAGAACTGCTTGAACCCTGGGAGGCGGAGCTTACAATGAGCTGAGGTCCAGCCTGGATAACAGGAGTGAAACTCCATCTCAAATAAATAAATAAATAAAAAATAGCTTTCTCCTCACTCTTCACAATTTCAGCCTCATTTCCCAGAGGGAGTGATTGGTACACTTTCTTACTTTTTTTTTTTTTTTTTTTCGCTCTTGTTACCCAGGCTGGAGTGCAATGGCGCGATCTCGGCTCACCGCAACCTCCGCCTCCTGGGTTCAGGCAATTCTGCTGCCTCAGCCTCCTGAGTAGCTGGGATTACAGGCACGCGCCACCATGCCCAGCTAATTTTTTGTATTTTTAGTAGAGACGGGGTTTCACCATGTTGACCAGGATGGTCTCGATCTCTTGACCTGTGATCCACCCACCTCTGCCTCCCAAAGTGCTGGGATTACAGGCTTGAGCCACCGCGCCCAGCCTGGTACACTTTCTTACTTTCTTCTTCTAGGCCAGTGGTTCTCACCCGGAAGTCATTTTGCCCCCAGGTTACATTTGGTAATGTCCAGGGATATTATTGGATGTCACAACTCAGGGCTGGCGGGGAGTGAGGTGCTATGGGAGCCTAGCAAGACGCTGGAACGCAGCCTGCAATGCATGGGACGGCCACCTCTGGCAAAGCAGCAGCTTGTCTCTGACATGACTAGTGCCACCATCATTGAGAAAGCCTGTACCAGACTTCCATCTAGAAATCAATAAACAGAAATATCTTCATTAAGATAGTTCCTTTTTTCTTTTTTACCTTTATTTTTATGGACACAAATGAGATCTTCCTAAATTGATTCATAAGCTGTGATTCTTTGTACAATTTTTTATTTTGAGACAGGGTCTCTCTCTCTGTCACTTGGGCTGGATGGAGTACAGTGGCACAACCTTGGCTCACTGCAGCCTCAACCTCCTGAGCTCAAGCCATCCTTTTACCTCAGCTTCCTGAGGAGCTGAGACTACACTCCTGCTTCATTTTTTAAAAATTATTTTCTGGTCGGGCGTGGTGGCTCATGCCTGTAATCCTAGCACTTTGGG